GTAGACTTCACATTATTTCTCGTATTTGAATTGTAATTCTTATTCTATTTAATTTTGATATGTCATTTTACCTTTTAGCAGTGTTATCAAGTATTTTTGATTTGTTTGTGCAAGCTATACTTGAGACTTTGCTTTCTTCTCAAGACACTGAGACAGAAAAGTGCTAAACATGGGTTTTTAAAAGAGGCGGCGATGTGATGGGAAAGACCCGAAAGATAGGAAATGGTTTGGAGATATGTGAAATGTTTCTGCTGTGTCAGTGTACTGTATGTGCGGCCATGCTTCCAGCTACTGAGCCTCACAGAGATGTGAAGAGAAAAGCGATTGTTCTTCAGTGTCAGGATAGCTGTGTCTCTAAGAATCCAAAACACCAGATCACATATACCTCTTTGTTTACAGTTTATATTTACAACTGAAGGTAATAAAGGTACTACTGTTATATGGTTACAATACCATGGTGCTCAAAGAAGATGGGAAACATCATAGCTCATGTGGCAAAACAACTTTAGACAATACGGAGATCTTTAACCTGTTGCTGGACAAATCTGTTGTGGGTCGTTTGATTCACTTTATAGGCAAGTGACAGACAGTAGACTGCAGTTAGAGTACATGCTCTTCTCTGCATTTTACAGATTTGATATACAGTTTTTACTGGTGCTTATTTAATCTCTCAGCCAAGTAACACTTAGGCTCACTGCCTGGATCTGCACAAACAGAGAGTGAAGCTAGCCACATGGGCGATGATGTTTTCTGTCATAAAATAACTTAAGATCAACGTCTGAGAAACTAATTTTTTTATAGTTTCATCCTGACCAATGACATTACTGTACAACCGTTAGTGAGCGTGGTTGCTGGAGGGCGGGGGTGTGACCGGGCCGGGTAACTCTCCCAACTTCCACCTCTCTAAACTGAAAAACTGTCAGGTGCAAAAACCTCAACAATATGGTGCGGCTTCACAAAGTTCTTCTACCTTTTTATAGCAATTCTGTGCTGTTTTATCAACATTATAAAGCACTTTTATATGTATTCTTTCTTTTTTTTCTTGATATTTTAAAAAGACATTTGGTTTCTTGTGAATTTTGTTTTATGATGTGAACTGATCTACCCTTGTGTGATACTTTTTGTATACAGTAGGGCTGTGCCAATAGAAGTGAAATAATGGATTTTGATATGTGAAACCCATGTCACTTGACTCAGTGTACAGTAGATGGATTGACATGTGTCACCCCAAACCCCCTTTTCCTTTTCTCCGTCATCCATATTGTTCCCTGTTTTAACGCAGCGATACAGGATGTTAGTACCCAGATTCAAAGAATGTCTATTTCTATTAAGATTGTAAAATGTTAGACAGAGTTAGGGAACTATGTCATGCGCATTGTATAATATGTTGTCCCTTGTGAAGGACCAGTTGGGCCTTTGTTATTTCCCTGATAAATCGTAGTCGTCATGTTGACAAATTTAATTGCTGATCCAAAATTTGGATTATATTCACAAACGTAATTCTCTTGATTGTATCCTCTCAGATAAATATGGAGGATTTAGGCTGCAGTTTGTGAAAACGAAAAACTGACAGTGTTTGACGAAGATGTCGGCACTCAAAGAGTATAGAGGGTAATAAAAACAGATATTATCACTTATCTATATCATATTTAAGATTCTAAATTTGAAATTTAATTTCTTAATGTAATTAATTTCTTAAGTGACCTTATTGCCATCATGTTTGTCCATGCACACCGGGCTCAATATGAGCTCTTGTGCTTTGTGATATTTTAACCAGATGTTATTACCCACTCCTCCTATAATACTTCCCCCTCATTTGTACATTTTGTACATAGAGTTTTCCGGTGGCTGTTTTCAATTTGTTTTTACCTTTCGTTTTTATTACATATGAGATGTACAAATATAATTCTTTGCTAATATATATCATCAAATTAGGAAAAAATCTAGGTTAAAATTTTAAAAAATCAAGTGACATTTTGATTCAAAACTTGCTTTGAGCATTAGATGTAGGGAGACTCCAAGTCGTCTTTATCGTACTGATTTGTTTGTGTCAAGTGAATCCAGATTTCATGTCATGTGATCTTAATAGTGGCCTGAGGACAGCTTTAAGACGAACGCGCTCAACTTCACTGCACAGCCCTACATGGTGTTGTTTTTCTGCTTCTGTTTGTAAGACTTTAAAAATAGGGATTGTCTGTGTTTCTAATGGTGCTAAACATTTTATCCAAACAAGAAAAATATATTTGGTTGGAAGAGTCTTGACAATGACTGTTTTTAAGTTCCTTGTAGTAACAGAAAATAACTATTATTTCACTCATATAAATATATTAACAAAGGCATTTTAACTTTGTACTTGAAAAAATAAGGATAACAAATAATGAAAGGTTTCCTATATTGTTTTAGACTAGAGATTGCTGTAGTTGGTGCTTATCTGTGGGAAAATCATGTGAGAAAAAAAATCTGGTAACTTTTACTGTAGCATAATAATGTATGCTTAATATTCATTGCTTCTTCTTAATCCTACATTCCACGCCGTAATATTCTCCATGTCTGTTTTCAAAATGTTGTTTTGAATTGATGTTTTTTTGGTTTGTTTTTTAAATCAGAAACAACATCTGAGTTTTACTGTTCAAGGCAGGTCAATACTTCTATATTCGGTGATACTGTTGACGCTCTGTGACTTTCTTTCCGTCATAACTGTTAATGGCCTATACGCTTTTCCTCAAGACCAGTTCGTACAGCAAATGTAGCAGTCATTCTCCACCCTATCCCCCCCCCATACTTAAGTTTAGTGTCCAGAGAGAAGATAGAGGCTCCGTATGTACTTGTGCTGGAGAACACTTGAATAAATGTATTGTTTTTGTGCAAAAATCTGCAGCCTCCTGTCCTTTTTTATTTAGATTGTATAAAATGTACATGAAAATATAGTTTCCAATCTCAAATATGTCTCTATAGTATTCATTATTCATTATCTTTCTGTTGCTAAATCAAAGTTTGGAAAAAACAGCCAAACAATGTCAATAGGTTTTGTCTCAACTGTAGCTAAATAAATTGTGATTCGTTTTCGGAAATACATGACATCACTTCTTTCCAACTCAATCCCAACAACGAGAGAAATAAAGACAAAATCAAAAAGATAATAAAATAAATAAAACAATTTAAAATGTTGCATTTATATAATTGAATTATGGTAAGAAAATAAATGTAACAATAAAAGCCTTTGTTATTGGTCTCCATGTGTTAAAGGTATTTTTGACTATTTTGAGAGAGTATACCAAATAACATTAAAGATGGCTTCATTCTATTTAAGGATGGGGTGGTGTTGTTATAATTTTCATATTTATGACCAAAATATTGTCATAATGAGAAAATATATTGTTAGTATTAACAAAAAAAACAGAATTAAGGAAAAACAACCATTTGATATGAGAACCTTTTTGCGGGTGGCCTAAGAGGACCTCCATTGACACGTGGCCCCATCATAAGGCTAATATTTAGACATTGCAAACCAAAATTAATGTTCTCATTACTGTGAATTAGCTTCAAATTGTCAGGGGGCTGATGGGGGAGCTGTGGATATTGATATTCAGTTCCAGTTTCCATGCCATCATGCCCTCCGGCAGGGGATTTGCTGTTCAGTGTCTTGACACCTGGGTCCTCCCCACCAACAGTGCTTAAGATCAGGGTGTTGCCCTCCAGCTCCTTTCTTATTGAACATGTTGCCACCATAAAGCCACCATTCATGTTAGCTTTAAGGGCTTGCACGTACATTAACTACTAATAGCAAATGATCTTTAATACATATTTGTTAATGTTTAAATTTTTTCTTGCATAATTTTTTCGGATCATGCTAAGGTCTTGAAAGAAAAGATAGACTGAGCTATTAAATTATAATACATGATAGGTCATAGTGACATTTTAACCATCATATCCAATATAATAATGCTTCACCCTATTATAATTATGCCCCCCTCCTCTGATAGTGGTACAGCCTCCTCACAGTAGACACGCCCTAAATCCACAGTAATTGGTTGCTTAGGCGACCGAGCCACCCTCCCCTCTGCTGATTGGACCGTCGCACCGTCTCACATCCTGGATGCTGAGGGCTGCATCAAGTTATTCGGAGACAGCTAGAATAGTACCGGAAGACTAGCGATTAGCCAACAAAATAAGAGCGTTTAAATGTGTAAGAGAGAAACCCAGGATGTGCATGTAGTCCAATTCTTTAAGATGACCAATGCAATGCGTTCTACCTTCGATTATAATCAAGAGGACACTCAGCTGATGCAACCATCGTGTTTCATACTACAACATTTTGATTACAAATGTATTAATTACTCTTATTTGCTTAAAGTGCATTTTGGAGAAGAGCAAATAGTACATTTGCACAAATATTAAGAGTGCTATTAGGTTCCTTCAAAATATGCCTACAAAAAGTAATATCTGTCATAAGGATTAATAAGGGTTATATATATTTATATATAGAGAGAGTATTTATAATATTAGCATTTATACGATTCTGAAAAAAGGCATGAGCATAAACTAGTGATGCAGATTACATATGTGGAAAAATACATTTACTTTTCATGCAATTTAGCATAAAATGAAATGCAAATCCTGGCTCCAGATCTCTAAATTGCCGCTCACATTTGTAATTTGTCAAACAATAAAAGCTAGACAAATGGCATTTAAATCTGATTATTATGAAGTGTCTTAGCTGTTTCCATTGTCTTCGGTTACAGTGCCTTCATACAAAAAACAAAAGAAAAATAGTCAGTTAATTATATTATTTTCATTCTAAATGTATGGTTATTGCTATGCACCAATACTCTAGAAACACTTGTATGTAGAAACCTATTTTGCATGAAAAAACATATAAACATGATCTGAAATGTTGTCCCATCATTCCTTTGCAAAGAAAAACAACTTAGATTTTATTTTTGAAAGCCATAACCGGAAGTCTTACTTCTGCAGCCTCGCTGGTTGACTGTAATGAGGCTGCGGTCTGCTGGTCCCGGACCGGCCAGGAAGGCATCCATCTGGTGAGTGTCTCCTCGGAAAGTGCCATCCACGGATTGTGTTGCCTCCTGTTCCTGTAGGAAAGTAAGCCGAGAGACGCGTGGATCAGCAGCAGCAGAGAGAGGAGGTATGTGGTGCACACCTTCAGCTTTATTCTGAGCAGGCTCTTTGATGGGGGGAATCCTCTCCTGGAGCCCGGAGATTTGTCTCCATGCCCCCGGGCTGCACGGCTGAGTGTCTGCCCTGCCTGCCAGCCTCCACGGGTCTCCACACACCCTGAAGTGCAACTACACATCAGAACCTGTGTGCAGGGTTACAATATGGAGAGACTTTAGATAGCAGGCCTGTCCTCACTGTGGAGGAAGAGGCGGACTGAGAGGCGGTGAAGCGGTTTGTAGGTCGCTATGCTCGCTGTGCCTCCGCCGCTCATGCCGGATGGGGACCGGGTTCTTTGTGTCAGGTCTCACAAGTGGAAGTGTCATCACTCCGCTGCGATTACACCTTTACAGTAAATGTATAATTATCTGCCTAGATAATTATGTGTTCTACTTATTGACATATGCAATTGCATTTTAAATACCTGTTATTTTATAAAATAGCATTAATGGGCAAATCAAGTAAAAATAAAGACATTTGGCCAACATTAGCAAGGCCCTGCCTATACTACAGGCTATGTGTATACTACAAAGTGAACATTAAAAAACATGTGTAATGTATACCACAGTTAAATGAATAATCTATCATTCACGTTTTATGTCATATTGATAGGTCCTAAATCATAGCTCACCTGTTTGTTATTGACAACCGGCGTCAACTTCCATAGTGCATGAGCAATAGGCCCTGTCTTATCATAATAACTTTATTATAGGGTGTAGCTGCTTCCAGGCTATTTGGGAACACAGGACCTTTTGAATGACTGTTTCGCCTCCTAACTTGAAGCCTGTTAGGATTAATGCCCAACATAAGCCATCCTCCTCTCCTCCCATTATCAGGCATCAGATCTGGATGTGTGAAGGAGTCCATGCCATGCAGTAAAGTTGCCGCACCCTCATACGTACGCATCCTGCAAGCGCGCAAGAACGCAAGCACGCAGGATGGCCACACACACACACACACACACACACACACACACACACACACACACACACACACACATCATAACATCACATCACTAATACACTGGTGAAGAATGGAAGGGAGGAGCAGATCTTCGAGGTTGTTTCTTTGTTATTGATCAAAGACCCAGATTACCCAAGGAGTGGAGCAACCTTTGTAGTTCTGGCTAAAATGTCATTGTAGATATTTATTTATTATACTGAAAATGTAATTTAAAAAAAAATATTTTAGCAGGCTGTTTTAACTCTCCATGCTGCCAGGAATGACTTTTTAGTTAGCCTACTGTCAAAAACACTGGATTCAATCAATAGAATACCAAGCAGGTGTACTTTTTAAAAATGTAAAACATGTAACCAAAAAACTCTGATAGAACAAATATTGAGGACATCTTATCGTATTATCTTATTAGGAGATGCAGTAGAGGTAAAATTGTTGAATAGGTGAAAAATAAAAGAGTAGAGAAAAGTCTAAATAGTGTATAGTAGAAACCTCTGACGACCCCTTTTGTGGGTACAAATCCATAGGTTGGGCAGCACTGCGTATTAACCTAATATTTATCATTTTTCGGCCTTGACATGGATTTTACATTTTCAGATTACAGATTGGACATACCTTGCCCTTTTGAGTGATCAATTATTTCTTGTGGATGTTTTGAATGATGAGGATTGTTTGGATACTACTGTGATACTTTGCATGATTTTGTGCAATGAAGTTTGCCTAATGACCCCGGTCTCGAAAATAATTGAGAGTATAATTGAAACTGTAATGTTCCCTACCTGGTCCAGCTGGGGAATGCTCATAACTCTTTGTTAGTAGAGACATTTTCAATGAATGTCAGGAACACCAATACATTTCTCAGCTCATATTGTTTGGCCACTATGATTATTTCTGAGTGGACATCATTGTTAGTAGCTTTATGCTGCTCTAGTCCTTTAAAAAATAAAGGCCTTATTGACCCTTGTCTGCCTTGTTGTGATCCACTACTGGACTCTTTCTAATCCCCACTACGTCAGGTCACAGGCAGTGACAGCCTCCTCAGTCCTCTAGCTGATGTCAGTCACAGCCTGACAGACTAGTCTCAGGGCAGCATCACTGCTTCTTAGCATAGACTTACTACACGCAAGATGAGGAACTGTAAAAAGTAATCTATCTCATAGAAAAATTGCAGTTTTTGTGCCTTTTCTTGTTTAGATTTGAGTCAGTTTACTACAGTTTTAGCGGCTGCTCACAATACCGAACATAACAGGATTAAATTAGTATCTTTCTCCTTCTTTTTTCCTTACAGAGCTATAGCCATGTCTTCCAGCTCAGGGAATGTGCGGATCCTTATAAAGGGCGGTAAGGTGGTGAACGATGACTGCACCCAGGAGGCCGACGTCTACATCGAGAACGGCATCATCCAGCAGGTGGGCAAGGAGATGATGATCCCAGGTGGAGCCAAAGTCATCGACGCCTCTGGAAAACTGGTCCTCCCCGGGGGGATCGACACCAGCGTCCACCTGGAGGAGAGCTTCATGAACGCCACCACGGCAGACGACTTCTACAGCGGCACCAAGGTAACGTCCTGCTGGGAATGGAAAGGAAAAGGAAGAGAGGAGAGTTAAGACTTGAAGTAGGACACCTTTCCTAATTGTAGATCAGAGCACAAGCAACACTAAATGTCACAGCAAGTCAAAGCATGAAATAAGAGCAATGATTTGCAAATTAAGACTGTGACCTACATTTTCAAATTCAAGTTTTTGTGCTTGACATTCGTGGATATCACGAAAGTCATATCCCCATTAGATAGAGATCATTGCAAGCTTATTAATGATGCTTATTTTAGCTAAGATTTCAGAGAAGCTTTTTCCGTTTGGTTTTGATATGTCAGACAGCTTTCTTAATTTGTTGTCATCCATTATGTTGTTGTTTTTGAGATACGACTACTCTATTACCATGTCTAGGTAAAATGACAAAATTAGAGCGAAATGTAAACACTAAAATTATATTAAATATGAGGCATTAAAATTGAATGATACAATGATATACAGCATCTTATAAGTTAAACGAGGCAGATGAAGGCGGCTGTAATGTTGTTAAACAGTTTTTATTTCAGCCATGCTATTCATTTTGGAGGTAGAGCCCCTAGCCATTAGTTGATTAACTCATTAGTAAATGGGCCGAAAGTTAATTGGACACTTTCATTATCAGCTAATCTGTTGAGTCATTTTTTCAAAGCAAAATTTGCAAAGATTTCCTGGTTTCAGTTTCCAATATTTGACGATGTTCTTTTTTTTTCAATGATTGTTAGTCGAATATATTTGAGTTTATTTGTTGGCTAGACAGACACCTTGGACTCAGATCTGTAATAAGCCCCTCAGAGAGCGAGATTCAATAAAAAAAAGCTAAGAAGCATTTCAAATAGAAGCTAGACTTGTAATGGACATCTCTCTCAGACAAAATGATTATCAATTATTTAAAGAGAATAATCAGCAGATTCAGATCCTGCCCTACTTGGCAGTTGTATGTGGGTTTTTTTCTTGAAGTATCACAAGTTTGCAGAGCGTGTGTTTCACCAGCATCACACAGGAATGATTTGGCCCTCTGCTGTTAGCGAGGCTGCCAGAATGTGTGGAATAAAGTCACCATGGCGTCTGATAAAGCCTGGGATACCCTGCTCTGCCTTCAGGGCTCCATGATGACTCAACACTGTGAGAGATGATGGAGTATGAGAGGTGACGGAGGCTGGGCTTCATATTTAGTAACTGGACAGACAGACTGCTGCCCGTAGACGCCGGTGACAGACACTATTCTCCTCACTCCTCTCTGCCTCGCCCCTCCCTACACGCTCCAAAAAAAAAAGAGTCCGGAGACAAATGCAGATCGGTATCCGTTTCCATGGATACCGGGGGGCTGCTGCAAAGACTGCTGCAAAGCCTTTTCACTAACGCCATTGTGCTTGGAGACAATGGCTCTCAGACACAAGCCCCCCCTCCTCTTCGTGTCCCCTCCCTCTTCACTCTCTAGGGTCAGCTGACAGATGCTCAGTGAAGCATGCACTCATACACAAAACACACTCTGTTTCACGTGTCGGGGTCATTCACATCTACTGTACGCGTGGGTTTGAAACATCTTAGTCTATGGGAGATAATAAGCAATAAGTGCCGATGTCGTAAAAAATATATTATACAGTGAGCTTTGATTATACTGTGAGGGGCAGTTAATTGACTACTAAAGGATTTATATTCCCCTCAGCAATCGTTATACAAATAACCATAACAAATGTGCATTAATAGCAATTGTGGCTTCTACCTTTATGCCCAGAGCAGAAGAGTTATGTTGATTACTCCCTCTAGTATTTATGGGTTTAATAAATCAATATATTCTCCTTTAACATCACTTAATGCCGCGGTTTAATTATATTTCAGTTAAGTCAGTTATTTCAGTTAACCTCAGTGCATTTAAGTCTTTAATAATAATAATTACAGAATTATCCCCTTACAATTTGGGTAACTTAACAACTGTTGTTTGTATTTCTTCTAGGCGGCTCTTGCTGGCGGTACAACAATGGTGATCGGACACGTTCTGCCAGAGAAGAATGAGTCTTTGCTGGAAGCCTACGAGAAGTGCCGCAGCTCGGCGGACCCCAAAGCCTGCTGCGACTACGCTCTGCACGTGGGAGTGACTTGGTGGGGACCCAAGGTAATCCAGCACTGTGCCTCCCACTACACATGATTTATTTTCCCTATTCAAAATAATGTTCAGCGAAAAAAAACTCATGGCTTTAGTTGTGTAGTGTCTTACTTCTGCTGTACCTCTGTAAGTGATTTCGTACAATTCCTTGAGTGGTTATCGTCCACCTGCAGGTGAAGACATGGAGATGAGTTAAAAGATTCCCAAACAAGGGGCCTTTAATTATAATGCCAGGACAAAGCAAAATGTGTCAGACTGAAGTAACTATCCATTATATATGTTTAGGCTCTACTTATCTACCAAAATATACAAACAGTTTAAAAGAAAGTAGTGGTGAATAATAATGACTTCCTTTCTTTACAGCTTTTCCTTGACCTCTTTGGAAAATGTCATGATGTTATACAATGGCAGATTATTTATTTTTCAGCAACGTTGGTAACATTACATAGAAATTGGTCAAAGTGACAAACTAAATGCTCCTTAATTCACATTAAGATTCCTGTCTTAAACAGAATTTCACCTTGCTGTGTTGCTTTATATGTTCCTTGCGCATGGAATTGTGGGACTTAATTATCTCTTTTCATTGGTTAAACTTTGCATGATCCAGTGTTCCCTATGTTAAAGGAGATATGAAAGGAAGCATTGAAGCAGCTTTCCATAGAATGTATAGAACTGGACCAGCCCTTATCATGGCTGCCACTTAGATACTTCTGGGTCATTTCACTCAGTTAATAACATTCCTAAGCAAAAACAGTTTGAAACTATTTGACCGTGGCCCAGATATATTTTTTAAAAAGACACTTGGTTTAAGCGGAGAGATGCTGAGGCTCATTTACACTTCCTGCAGGTGCGAGCTGAGATGGAGAAGCTGGTGAGGGAGCACGGGGTGAATTCCTTCCAGATGTTCATGGCCTATAAGGACATGTTCATGCTGAGGGACAGCGAGCTCTTCCAGGCTCTGCAGCAGTGTAAGGACATCGGAGCCATAGCAAGGGTCCACGCTGAGAATGGGGAGCTGGTTGCCGAGGTGAGGGGATCACTTATATCTGTTCATATAACACATCAAGTTATCATAGATGCTTGTGTTGATTAATTTTGTAGCCATTTGTAGTCAATATTATTCATGATTTCTCTTGTCTCTTCGCAGGGTGCAAAGGAAGCATTGGACCTGGGCATCAGCGGCCCAGAGGGGATAGAAATCAGCAGGCCTGAAGAGGTATCATACTCAGGATGACTTTCATTATATCCAGAGCCTTGTCAAGAGTATTGATATCATTTTTGTAATAAAAATAACATGATAACTCACAGAATTATGTTTCTTTACAGCTGGAAGCAGAGGCGACCCACAGGGCGATCACCATCGCAAATAGGGTGAGTGAGATCCCTTCAGCACAGATAAAGGAAAAGTACAAAAACAGCACTAGTCTGAGTGCACAGGAAAACATGTCTTAGGAAAATAAATAAAGTATATAGATTTTTGCCAATTATGATGTGAAAAGACAACATGAGTTTTTCTATATTATAATGTATTCCCTGTGTGTGTGTCTTCTGTCAGGCCCACTGCCCGATCTATCTGGTCAATGTGTCCAGCATGTCTGCAGGAGATGTCGTTGCTACAGCCAAGATGCAGGGTAAGGCCTACTTCTGTTGGGAACTTTTTCAAAGCAAATAATATGAACTTGTAAAATAAATACATTTAGAAAAGAAAATAACTTCAATGTATACAAGGGAAGCTCTATCAAAGAGATGTACTGTATGACTTAACAATCACTTTGGTTCTTTGCAAGCCGTGAAATCTAAGTACCAAGTAGCCTTCTTCCCATCTTGAGCATGGCCACATATCTTGGAAATACCCAAATATTCAGCCATGTTTTTGGGGGTGAGAAAGTGGGATGTCATGTGAAAGACAATGAATTGAATGTTTTACCAAAAGCTGGCTCCAAGGAAACCCCCCCTCATTATGGACATTTTCTAGTTGCCCCTCCACCCCCCATCTTATCCCAGTCCTCATTTTTTTGCTCTGCATTCCAACACATTTAAAATCTTATGAATAGTAATGAAACAGTACTTTTCTGGACAAAAGTGGTCTGCTTGCCTAATCGTTTTAACTATTGCATGCTTCACCTCTGTCCCTTTTCTTACAGCACTCTTTTCACTATAATTTGACTTGGTGTGCCTTTTTATATGTACTGCCTAACCACAGGTAAGGTTGTCCACGGGGAAACCACCACAGCCCACGCTGTGCTGAACGGGATGCACTACTACCATCAGGACTGGGCCTACGCTGCTGCACACGTCACCGTGCCCCCTCTCCGCCTGGACCCCAGCACTCCCAACTACCTAATGAGCCTGCTGGGAAAGTGAGGAAAACCAGAAAACCTCACACTAAATGTAGTCTGATGTCACTGTTACTGGTTTCTAAATGCGATCTCGCTCTGTTTGGCCGCAGCGACACTCTGAATGTTGTGGGCTCGGACCACCGTCCATTCACCACCAAACAGAGAGCGATGGGTAAGGATGACTTCACAAAGATCCCACACGGGCTCCCCGGCATTGAGGATCGCATGAGCGTCATCTGGGAGAAAGGAGTGGTATGTGGAGCTCTTTTGTTCCAGAGTGGCTGCTAGAAAACCGCCAAAAAATAGGGCATCTGTTTTGGATTGGTGGTTATCGATTCTAAGGAGAAAATAATGACTCTAAGGGCAGAACAAATATATGTTTCTGCTTTTGGTGCATAAGTTGTTTCAGTCGGATGTTTAAGTCCATATTTTCAGTAACAATGGCCTTTTTTATCTTTTTTTGGCATGTCCTTTATTGTAAGTCTCTATTCTATTCTTTTTCTATTACAAATTGTTTTAGGGTGCCTGAAAACATTTTTCAGTGACTACAGATAATAAATAGTAACTTGGCATATACAACAATGTTTAATAATGTGCACTGTCCCTCCTTTTGTTATTCTTAAGGTTTCAAACACAAGTGTTGTCTTTTCTTTAATTCCCAGATTGGAGGTAAGATGGATGAGAATCGCTTTGTTGCCGTCACAAGCTCAAACGCAGCCAAGATCTACAACCTCTACCCGAAGAAGGGGCGGATCATCGCGGGAGCAGACGCTGATGTGGTGGTCTGGGACCCCGAGGGATCCAAGTATGAAACTCTATCCGTCCATTCATCGATCAGCGTGCCTCACAGCAGCTTTTATCTCCAATCACTAGAAGCTGATTGGGTTTCTGAATGAACTGGGTCTTCTTCTCTTTCCATCTCTGTCTGCAGGACCATTTCTGTGGATAACCAGTTCCAGGGAGGAGATGTGAACCTGTATGAGGGTCTCCGCTGTCATGGCGTGCCGCTGGTCACCATCAGCCGGGGCCGTGTGGTCTATGAGAACGGGATGTTTACATGTGCTGAGGGCTCGGGGAAGTTCTGCCCCCTGAGGACCTTCCCGGATCTCCTCTACAAGAAGATGGTGCAGAGGGAAAAGGTATCAGACACGACCATCTTTACTTCCTTTATTCATTTATTTCTTGATCCACTCCTTCTTTCTTTGTTATTTATTTCATTCTGTTTTTCTTTTTCCCCATATTTGTTTAGTTATTTTGTATCCATCCTTCCTTCCTTCTTTTCTTCTTTCTGTCCTTCTTTTATCCATCTTTCTTTCTCTCTCATTCCTTTCTTTGATTTAATTTAGTTTTCCTTTTATAGGTTTCCCGTTGTGTTCCCATTCCTTTCTTCTTTGGTACCTACCTTCTGTCTCTCTTTTCTTTCTCTCCTTTCCTTTCTCCAAAACGTTTCTATTTCATCATCAAACTTCACAGCTTTTCAAACCTCTCTTTGTTCAATCTTAAATTAAATCTTGCAGACCAACTGTAGTCCTACAAATCTGCAATCCTAGCTGTCAGAAGAGCTACTTTTGGTCTTTTACTTTTAATACTTCTTCTAGTTAGTACTCATGTTTATAACTAGGTATAAAACTATTCCATAACAAATGTTCATTAACCTGATTGTGTTCATTTATTTGTCTTACCACGTTGACTTTCCAGAGCCAGGCTGTGAAAGCTGTGGAACGAGAGCCCTACACTGGTGAAGTAGTCCCGGTGCTCAACTCAGGAAAGAGGGAATTTGGGGTTTCAGATTCGGACACTCCGACGCGCCCCTCCACTCGGCACGGCGGCGTGAGGGACCTCCAGGGGTCCAGCTTCAGCCTGTCTGGTAAGAACCAGCAGATTCATTCAGATATCCGTGATCATTTCCATTTTAACTTGCATATGATGTCACCAGGAATGTGATAGAGATGCCTTTTTTTGGCTATTCTTTTCTCCACCTGTTGAGATGCTGTGTGTCTTGTGACTGAGGCACCTTGTGGCTTTTTAAAAATGTTAACATACACCACTTAGCCTGATGAGGGCGCCATAGATATGAGAAATGTAGTCGAGTAATTATTGACACCTCAAAAGGTATACAGCACAGAAGGCTTACCCCTCCTGGTTTTCAGATATATTCCTCACATTCTGACCAAGAGTTGCCTAGTACACTTTTAAATAATATATATTTTTTAAATGTTATTTCTTAATTAGACAGATTTGACAGTAGATAGCTTTTTGTATCAAATGCACAAAGGGTTGATGCTTGGGGATTTATTGGATTATTTTCTGTTTGTATTATTCGAGCATCAAATGGCCGTATTCCATGTCAATATACTTTTACATCCAATTAAACGGAATGAGAATAAATTATATGTTAAGCTGTTTCGAGACAACCCTTTAAAGAAAATATGATTTAGTTAGAAATACCTTGTGCTGAACTCGGCACACCATCATATTCTGCTCCAGGTGCCCAGATCGATGACAAAATTCCTAAGAGGTCCTCGGCCAGGATCCTCGCTCCTCCTGGAGGGAGATCCAGCGGAATCTGGTAACCAATCAGAAGTGACGCTGAAGATCGACACCTGAGGGAAACATATGGCCAAGCAAGACAACTTGTTTTTCTTTCTGGAGTTTGTATGTTGAACTCAGCACAGTAACATAGGACACGTTAAACTGTAGGATATTTGCCGTAACAATATTTGAATATCGATCAAACTATTATTGGTTACCAAAAATGGAGTCAATTGTTAACCAAATATAAGCAGCAAATTAAAAAAAGTGTTGCCAATGAATATCTTTGGCTGTTGGATTACATTAGGGGAAATATCTTACTAATAGTTTTAGGAGTATAGAGGTGAGTCATGGTTTTTATGATGCGATTGTGTTACCTCACTGTAAAATACGATTTTGCACTTGTATCATGTACTATTTAGATGCCTTTTTACATGATTTAATGTCACACATATCACAAATGTCCTTCTTACTGCGAGCCTGGGTGAATGACGTGTAATAAATTATTACAAGGGCATGACATTATAATGTCAGTTATGAAAAATATTTGACCAATTTGAAGTATCATAATGCAAGCTAACCTTTTCTATGCGTTTGTTTATTGATTATTTATATTGTATTGTGCTATTTTCCGTCGATGCTACCGCGTTAGAAATATTTCCTGAATAAGAACGAGGTCTTGGTTCAGTAGTTAATTATTCACCGATAAATATTTCCGATCATGTTTACAGCCTTATAGCCGAATAGACGTCTGTTCCACCCCCACCAAATGTGAATGAACCTATGCTGTGTGCATGGTAGCATAGTTAGAACTACTGTAATAAGCACTAATGTTGCGATGCATTTTTTTTTAACGTATCCATTTCACCACAGAGAGCAAAAAGTCTCACCCAAACTGCCTTCTTCTCACCTGAGAACACTGACACCAACAAACACATCGCCAGGCACAGATCATGATGTTCCTTTGGTCATTTTGTACTGGTCTGAAAGGCAGGGTGTAACATATTCCTCTGACAATTACACCACTGTGAAGTAGGGCTGGGCAATAATATTATATCGTGATATGTGACTACGTGGTTTTAGAATTTGGTTATTGTAAGCTTTCTGTTCCTGGTTTAAAGTTACATTTTCTCAATTTACCGCACTGTTCTTTAGCTTTTTATATTATTTGCCTTTACCTGATTAGTCTTTAAATCCGCATTACTGGTAATAATTATCAAAATTCTCACTTTTTTGTGAAAGCATCAATGGTTAACCCTACAATATGTCACAATATTGAGGTATTTGGCCCAAAATATTGTGATACATGATTTCTTCCCTATTGCCCAGCCCTACTGGGATGCTTAAAGTGAAGATGATGGGATCCTCTTCAGCATTCACAGAGTGGAATTGATTTAAGCAGATATGTTAGTCAATGAAGGCCATGTTGTCAGGGTATCAAATGCCATCACACTGTAGGACACTGAAAGCATTATAACTGGAAGGCATGCTTGTTGAGCAACTAAGGAAAAGCACTGATACTACTACTGTATTTGTATTGTTTTGTTTAGTTACAGAGTATTTCTTGTGAATAATTGTCTTTGTATGTGATTTTGTTTTGTTTTTGTAAAACCTGTAGTGTAAAGCAGGTATGCACACAAGATTTTGATTATTTTTAACAGAAGATCCTCACTCTACAGTTACATTCCTACATCATTGTTTGTTTTTTGTACAAATGTTACTTTTAGAAGCTCTAGTGAATCTTCCCCTGTCCTAAATGTACACCGGTGCTGAACAATGTGTTACCACATTTAATTCCTTTTATGTCTTGTTTTTCCCTTGCAGCTCTATATCACATGATTTGAGTGCAAATAAACCACAATGAAATCTCCAACTAAATCCTGTGTCTGATTGGAAAGTAACATTTACTCACTTACTGCACTTGGACTGTAAATTGTACTGATACTTATTTATATTTTGGAAAAAGTATTGTACTTTTTTGTTCACTTCATAATTTCACAGCTTTATTTGACAAACAAAAAGCAATGTCTAGTTTGGGAACTAATTTCAACTGTGTATGGCTTTAACAAAAAACGAAAAAACATTTTATTTGTATGGTTCCTTTATATGAAATGTATATGAAAAGCCTTAATAAATTGTAAGGGCTGGACGGATTTGTTTGTTGTGACATTTTAGACCAAAACAATGAATTGACTAAATCATTGCCAGATAAATCACTATAGAAAATTAATGTTAACGGTTGTTACATTACAAATTACTGTTGTAATTTAACTTTGAATTATCTGAATATCAGTTTTAAATCCAGCACCATGTATAAACACAATAACATAAGGTGTTTTTGTGTAGCCTGAACTCAATAAACCCTCAGTCACCGGCAGGCCTAAAACCCAACAGACACATGATGTGTCTCTTAGCTCTAAAGTCCTATTTATAATGAACCTTTAACAGCGTGGAGTCATGCGCATGCGCGGTAGGTGCAGGATTGTTGCAGCCCCAGACAGGGCGGCCCGTTACCAAGCACTGCACCGCGCACTGGCTCAACGACGACAGCACCGAGCATTGACATAAGGAATACAGCCAGCGTGATAACAACACACACACCCGTGAAAACAGTGAGTATCAAAGCGCTAAATAACCAGTTCACGCGCACTCGCTTTGTGTGTTTCTCTTTTTGTCCGGGGGAGCGTGTTTTTTATTCCCATGCAGAGAGGATATTTCCCGTGCACTGACAGTCCTGAGCTATTCGGGGAGGCCTGTAGAGGGGGCCGCTAGGAGAACACCAGCACCAGCGTTGCGGTTTTTTTTGAAAACCGAAAGCCACCCAGCAAACGGGGCATTTATTGTTCTCAGCTCGGGCTTTAAATGCCGGACCCCCGCCCCATTGCTGCTTGTTAGTTTTCGGGTTTTGCACCAAACGTTTTGCTGCAGTCCTCACCGGAGTTTCTAGAAGAGGGCCGGACGGTTTTAGCAGAATAGACTTTCCTTTCTTGTTGTGATGATATAATAAATATTCATTAGAAAATGCACAAACTGCAAGGAATGTGTCTGTGGATGTAGCCCAGGCCCAGCCTGCATTGTTTGGTCCTATACACACGTTTTATTGTTTGTTGTAGTTTAAAAGCACATCATTGTAAGCTAGCAAAGCCCCATGGGACACTGCTGCACGCTGCTGAAGCTGCAGTCACAATAATATCACTGTTATCACCATGAAGGACCGCCTACACTACAGATAAGCGTTTTACTAGTGATTTATGTGAGACACGCTACTATGTATCTTTCTGTGTGGCTCATGCAGACACAGTGCGGCGTGTGACCTGGTATTTAATTATTGTGTTAATATTAAATACCATTAATGTGGCATTTTACTGCAGGCAATGTCAAGGTGTTACAGGCCCGTTCTGACACAACTCCACCGGGGGTATTAGCAGGAAAGTGAGCAGAGAGAAGTGTGTCTCTGCCAGATGTGTAAAGCTGCTCACAAACATCAGGATATTTCAGTTTAATCTAGGGGGGATTATGCTCTCAACACATCTGTAGATTAAAACTGAAACTAAAGATGCTTGTCAGGCACTGTGTTTACAGGCAAAAATCTAGAGCAGCCTATTTCTCATCAAAGTCCAGGACCACCAGTGTCACTGCGCAAAGATAACCACCACTAACAACCTTGGGATACAAAAACACACTAATCCCAACCAAAGAGTTGAACAGTGTATACCGATTAATACTACTGCATAACATCCGACATATCCAGGACAATTATATCAAGAAATGGGTTGTATTAAATGAGTGCAGCAAAGTAGGTCTTTAAAAATGTGTCAATCACTCAACAGTAACAAAATTAATCTGCAAGTATTTTGATAATTTATTATTATATGTGCTAAATAAGTTAAAAGAACCACGTGTCAAAATACAACATTATTAAAAAGGTATTAAACTGTTTAATCAATAATGAAGAAAATCGTTAGTTGCAGCCTAAGTGGATCACTTCCGCATTTTTCTGAAGGTTGGGATAGGATGATAGTAGCAAGCTGTGTATATCCATTTACACACACTGTGGTCAATCAAAGAATGACGGAGCAATCAGTTGGAAATATTGTAAACTTACTTTTAGACAATAAATGTAAAGATAAAAGGCAAAAAAAACATCCAACTGAAAGTCTTATTTTCTCTTTTCACGTTTGTTTCAGGGAGGGGATGGCTGTGAATGTGTACGCCACGTCTGTGTCTATTGACAACCTCAGTAGACATGACATGCTGGCATGGGTCAACGATTCTTTGCACCTCACCTACACGAAGATCGAACAGCTGTGTTCAGGTAAAGCTTCATTCAAATTCTGCTCAACCTGAATGAGAAGACAACACAAATATATTGATGCATCTTTGTGTTTTTCAGGAGCGGCATATTGCCAGTTCATGGACATGTTGTTCCCGGGCTGTATCCTTCTGAAGAAGGTCAAATTTCAAGCCAAGCTGGAGCATGAGTCTATACACAACTTCAAAGTTCTTCAGGCAGCTTTCAAAAGGATGAGTGTGGACAAAGTCAGTTCACTTTTATCATATTATCATGTTTTTCACTGTATTTAAAAGGGCTGGTTCATGGTTGTGATAATCAATCAGTTATTTACCTACAAAAGATGGCGGCCAGCACACCAACAGTTTTGAGGAATAGCAAACAGCAGGAAAACACGTTTTAGTCCTGTCCAACAGGGAACACAATCCCTTATCTACGCACTCGACCAAACTACCAGACATCATTCATTTAGAAAAACATTTTAGCTTGCAAAATAAGGGAGTTGCTTGTTAGTTTGTGACTTTGGTGAATCCAAACTAACCAAAGTCACACAATAACACAAACAAACTAACCTACCGAGTCAGAGGTGTTTGTTTGTTATATTACATGTAGATATTCAAGCATTTCCTGTTTCCATCCTCCAGATAATTCCTGTAGAAAAGCTTGTAAAAGGGAAGTTCCAGGACAACTTTGAATTCGTGCAGTGGTTCAAGAAGTTCTTCGACGCCAACTACGATGGGAAGGAGTATGACCCTTTACTAGCCAGACAGGGGCAAGACGTGAACCCTGCCCCCAACCCAGGTGATCACTTTATCCACAAACCAAAGAGATACGCAGGTAAACCAAACAGTTTCGGCTTTGCTGCACGTTCTTGCTGAGCTTTGGATGGCTCTGAAGCGCAAGTGGTGTGAGCAGCACGATTCACAGACTTCTTAGATCCATCTCACTGCCCAGCATTCACAAGCCACATGACACCGTGTAGGTATGGTACAGGTACTGCTGGGGTCTTAGCAATCACCACGGACTTGCAAATGCCAATTGCAACTTGTCTTCCTAATTCTAATTGATCACAATCAGCAGATGTGCAAGAAAATCTGAAGAAATATCAAATGCAACCACTCTCTCCAGTGTCCTGCATCAAGCAGCTGATGCAACACTGTCACAGCCCTATATCTGCCTGAAAGCTGGACAGAGAAACTAGACAGTTTGTCTCATTTTACTAACAACAGTAACGTCAGCTAGGCTTGCTCTGTCTCTGTGAAAGATGTATGCTTGAAAATCATGGCAGACAATGTAAATTGACTTGCAGTGTGTCATTAGGCTGCTATGTGACGTTGTCACTGGTGAGCAGTGTGGTTGTTAATGGGCAAAGTGACTGCATTTAATTTTAAAACTGTGTTGGCATGTTTTGACTTTGAGTTTAACACCTCTGCTGAAGCACTTGCAGGGTTTTTCTGTATTAATTATTTTAGCAGGACATTCAATCTGGCAATCAAGTTTTTTGTCAGTATCAGTTTTGTTGTGAAAGAATTTCAACACAACAAAAATGTTTCACAACAAAATAGCATCTCAAAAGCACAACATTATGCTATAAGCTGATAACATCAGCTCTCTACAATGTGCTCTATCCATCGCCACATTGCTGTAAAGCCAACATTACAAATCTGTTTTAATTCAAATGATAAACCTCTCTGATCATCTCTCTTACTCCCAAGGACCACAGAGGACATCTCCAACAGTTCCCAAAATCATGCCAACACCGCAGCGGGTCCAACACAACGTTCCAGTTATGAGGAAGAATCCCTCTTTGTCTAGAAACGGGGGAAGTGATGCTGAGATCATGGAGCTAAATCAACAGGTAGACAACAAGAGTACTCTCTCACGTCTATGGAGTCCTTATACAGTATATTCAAACCTACTGTTTCACGGGACATTTTTACATCTTTTAGTAATCTTGCTTTACTTTAATAACAAGTCAAAATGTCTCCTCATGTGTTGGTTATTATTTTACATTTTAGAGTTTTAACTTTCTTTTCTTTTCTTTTGTATGCCCTGTAACAATATAATTTCTTAAAATGCAAAAATAGATATATATATATATATATCAAAGAAGAAAATCAAAGAAAATCATGTTGCTTTAATGTGAAAAGTATTATGCTGCGATATGCTCTTTTTATAATGCCACTTTAACAGGCTGTGAGCCCTATTTTTTCGCCTACTGCCTTCCTATATCAATACATATATGTTTTCTCTTTCCTTTCTCAGTTGATGGAGTTGAAGTTGACTGTGGACGGATTAGAGAAAGAGCGAGACTTCTACTTCAGCAAACTACGGGACATCGAGCTGATCTGCCAGGAACACGAGAGTGAAAACAACACCGTCCTGTCCAGTATAATCAACATTCTCTACGCGACAGAGGTATGCATCCTTTTACTGCAACACATGCAGGCTGCACTGCACCATTTCAATCTGCATGTCCTTTCCTCAGAGAGTTAGGCCTTCTTTGAGACAAACTCAGCCATGTCTCGTCTCGTCACCCAAGGAACACATTCACTTTCTAGTTAGGAAAACATTGTGTGCAATGCAA